TCTCATAACATTATACATTTATTTTATTATTTTTATTATATTGACCTTTCAGCTGTACCTGGCTAGCAATGCAGAAGTTACAATAACACGGCTCACACACGTGCACTCGTGTTACTGTATCAAATAACATAAAACTGACCTTTGGTCTGTGCAAAGTAACTTGTCTTGGCTGTGTTTTAGTAGACTAGTATTTTGTAAAATACAGTCACATTGTAATTATTATATATTATATATATGTGAACATAGAACAGTAAATAAAGAAGTAAAGCAAACAATTATCTCTTCTAGTTACGACCTTTGTGCTCGGTTGCTCCTTGACGTAGGTTGCTAAGTCTTTAAAAAGATTGCACGTGGAGGATATGAAATAAAATATATTTTTTTAGGTTTTTTATATATATACATTTGAATAACTAAAAAATCATAAATTATTATATCAGTACCATAGAATTCCACTAAAATTTATCAAGCTTAGTAACTAAAATGTATTTTAGTCTAAAGAAAAATTGAAATTTCAAACAGACTAAAGACATACCCTACCTCGTTGAAATATTGACTCAAAAGAAAGAAATAGCACCAAGTCTGTTAAAATGGCTGATAAAGCCACTAGGGGACATTCTGAGCTTTGGATTGGTTATTCATGTCATATATAGAAGTAAGTGTATATAAATGGAAAGAGGTGGGCAGAGTGCCACTGTGTTTGATTTATTACATGAGCAATATCTTAGCTAATTGAAAAGATAAGAGGCTCTTATTTTATATTCTAGCTTGCCAATATAGGTAATTTAAGTTTCTAATTCATTTAAAAGTATAGACTATAGTATTTTAAATTCACAAACATCTAATTTGAACCAGTGCTACATTGGACATATCACGTGACACATAAAAATCGATTTATCTGTGTTTTTAATATTTGCTTTTAAATGAAGAAATTGAGTAATATATATATTCTAAAATTGGAATTATAATATACAGTTTGATACCAAACTTATTGACATAAGTTCATGAAATAGTAGTTCGATAAAATTTAGAATGCTAGTCAACAAACGAGATGACATGACCTTTCACCCATGACCCTTCTCGAAGGGGGTTAATAACAAACTAAAATTTTGTACATTACAGATGGAACTTTGCTGTAGTAAGAATTTTCAAATGTTTAACAAAATATGATTTGAGAGATACTTAAAACACAATCAAAATATTGGAGCCAGTTGGATTACACTCATTGTAAACATTTAAAATAGTTCTAACATTACGTTTGTCTTTTACCTTATTCAGATAATCCTCTAATATAAGGGAGCACAATAGCTGTAGTAGGTTTAAAAATACAATTTTTTTTTTATTCAATAAAATGATTGAGATACCCATTTTCTTTCAAGACTTTTATACGCATGTTTTCATTTGGACGAAGATTTTAAGATCTTTTTAGTAGAGTTTTAACTGCCATTGCTTTGTAGGAAGTGAGGTGGTAGGAATTAAAATCGAGGTATCTGAAGTATCCAATATACAGTAGTAGTTAAAAGTTCCATTTTCTTGTCTTTGAACTAAAATATCTAAGCAGGGTAGTTTTCCTTACAGCTTCACAGCACATCACAAATTTACTGTTTATATATACCAGAATATTAGCTTAGGACAAGTGATGTTCAACAATTTTCACTACATCTTGCAGGGTTTTAGTTAACCCAAACTCCCATGTCCCGTACACATGATAATTTAGCAGAATGCATGACATTTTGGTTCCCTGCAAGACACCCCATACGTAAGGCTTCAAACTTTGTACCATAACAAACTAAACAGCCTACAATTTACACATAGTTGTCCACAATCAACTTCTAATAGGTTTCATCAATGACAATAAATTGCACAAAAATAAAGCCATGTAAGAGTACCACATAATTAACTCTTTCACCTTGGGTAGGTCAAAGTATGCATGTCACAACCTTTCACAAAGTTACATTCAAAAGTTAATTAAGCTACTTATTTATCAATGTATATGAATAAACTCAGCATCAAAACATGGATAATAAATCAAAGTTTAGTATTATTTAAGTTTTAAGTTCTTAATTTTATAAGAAATGTTTACAAAAAATTCTCAATCTTCACTAGTATAAGAACTGTGACGTTGTTATCTGTCTTCTCTAATTTCTTTACCACTCCGAGAATTACAAAATTCAATTTAAATTATTCATTATATTATTTTCATCATTCAGGCAAAGCATAATTTACATAGCCTTCAATCCTATTTTGTTTCACAGCAATAAAATAGAAAATCGGACCCCTCTTGCCATGCTCATCTGTCACTTCCTCTCTTTCAAAATTTCCAAATAATTCTTTTTGATGACGTTTAAGACTGTATTATTTATAACCAATAGAAAGCCACCATGTTTTTATATCGAATGGTGTATTATATTACATTGTTGCCTGCACAAATTGTCTATTTTTCTTCTAGTTCAAACTTTATTACCACAGGAAATACATTGACGATCTTAGCTGAATTTTTAATGGCTTTTGTTGTACAGTTAGAAAGTAAAAAAAAATGTGATAATTATGGAACATTGTTTCCTTTTTCTATGTCTTTGGTGCATTATTTAATTGAATAGAAATTATTTAATGCAGTAGTACAATTAGTATAAATAAGTAGAGTTAAGTTTCATTGACAGTCGAGAGCAAAAAAAAAAACTCAGTTAAATGCTTTATTTCTTGTTTTTCATATGTATTCTTTATTTATTATTACAAAAGAACTAAAATATAAAACCTTTTTTATGAGTTATGCTCATGATTAGTCCATGTGTTATGTAATTCGATACTGTAATGTGAGCTGCATGTGATTTGTATTTTATATGGTGCAAATAGTAGTTAGACACAGTTCAAAGGTCAATAAAACAAAAGTTAATAAATATAAATAGATATATACTGTTACAAGACTTAAGCTACTTAGAATAAACATTTGTGGTTTCCTGTTACAAATTGCAGTTATTCTAGAACAAAAAAAAAGGTAATTTAGATTTATTTCCTCATTTTTATGAGGTTGGTCAAGTCGATCAACACCATATGGAGTTAATGTTGATAAAATAACAGATTAAATATAAAGTTTTATCCAAAAAAACATTTGATCATCTAGAAGGATATAGAGATTATGCAAATGAAACTTGAAATGTTTTTAATCTTAAAATCAAAATTCCTTTGCATGTTGGATAATGAACATTCGAGGAAAAAAATTCTTGAGCAAATCTTCAATAAAAAAATCTTAATACTTAATTTTAAAACCTGATATTTTGTGTATGAAAACTTTGTAATGTTACGAATAATCTGCAAACTTTTGGTTAAAGATTCCCATACATTATCAAACATTCTAGTACAATTACTCTCATGGGTACATTCGTGGTTATGAGCTGGGTTGATTCCACCCAGCCCATATTTATAGGGTTAACACGTTATGTTTTAGGTGATCACAGAACTCGTAGTATTTCTTAAAAAAATTTTGTCAAGCAGTTTGAAAACAAAAAAAATTATCTACCTACCTACCCACATTTTAAATCAGTTTAGGGTTACATCAAATAAAAATATTATTAAGCCTGGCCTAAGTATTTTGAATAATTTTAGTGATTTATCCAGCTGTATCGGTATAGAAAAAGGTTTCATCTGTATTTTCTTTTGTATTGTGTAATGAAATATCTGGAAATGTTAAGAAGTAGAAAGTCTTTATCTTTGAACTCTTCTTCTTAAAAAAATATATTTTAGAGTAATTAAATTTTAAGATATATAGTCAAGAGTTAGAAACTGCAAAAGTGAGACTTATTGAAGTTTGTATGCATGTTGTAATGACAGTTGAGAAATACTGGATGGCAACACCACTACAGTTCACCGTATGTACATTAGTTTGTCCTTTATGGAAAGATGTGATTTTTTACAGGTGTTGGGTGTTCAAATATGCAGCCAAAGAAAGAAGATAAAGTGCAGAAAAATAAAAAGAAAAGTTTCCTTCCAGAAGGTCCAGGTACGGTACATTAGGATTCGAAGCGAACGCTGAATTGTTAAATGAAATTCTATTGTTGATATAAGGAAGTGTATTTGTGAACTTTAAAGGATTGAAGTTGTAAATTGTGTGTGATTTATTTGAGCCTTTTTCTTTATCAGTTGAGGTGGAAGCAGAAATGGAAATGCTCTCCCATATTCCATGGAAAAACTTTGCTCCAAGTCCCAAAAGTAAACATTGGAATCTGAAAGTCTGTTTGACCTGTGGCATATTATACTAACATAGTTCACTGTTGTCGCATTTGTTTTTTGAGATAATAATACTGTTGAAATTTTTCAAAGTTTATTTTAAATGAATACTTCTTGTCTCGATAAACATCAGATTAAAATAATTAAATGCCCCGTTTTTTTAAGCTAGTATTTTTTTACTACTGTTATTAGTCCCCCACATATAGGAGATACATGGCATACAGTCAGTTATGTTAATATTAATTCTGCAGGGATGTTTAAATATTAAGTGAAAATGCCCCAGTTTTCCTTTAAATGTAACCCCCTTTCTATCCTCCTACACCTCTTCCTGCAGATTGTGGGGCTGATCATTGCCATAGCCAAACAATGTGACACACGATGTGTGCAAAGCACGCCATTTCTAGGGGGTGTGCCCCCCCCAGAAATGTTTTTAAAGTTTAATGCTGTGAGATTGAATCTTGAGCCATTTTGACCACAAATACAACGTACACACAACGTAATGTATTGAATTAAAAGAAGTAAGTTTTAATATATATGGCTGATCATTGCCATAGCTAAACAATGTGACACACAATGTGTGCAAAGCATGCCATTTCTAGGGGGTGTGCCCCCCCCAGAAATGTTTTTAAAGTTTAATGCTGTGAGATTGAATCTTGAGCCATTTTGACCACAAATACAACGTACACACAACGTAATGTATTGAAATAAAAGAAGTAAGTTTTAATACATAAGTTGTAGCTATACGTGCCATGAAAAAGTGGTCAAGCCATGGTCTGCTGATTATGCACTTAGTTGTGCTTGCTGTTAACATCCACGATGTAGGACTTAGTATTTAGATTATCATTCATGGTATACTATCAAGAAAGTTTATGACATTGTTCTGTTTCCTCTTGGTTAAATTTGTATGTCATGTCCAGATTTTTATTAGATAACATTTTGTTCCACATTATTTTGTAATCATTTCTCTCATTTAAACATGCAAATCAATCTCCAAACTTTTAATACAAAACATGGCTAATTGTCTGTTTTTAATAATTTTGTAATGTTAAATTTTTTCTATCTCTAAAATATTTTTTGTTTTTCTTAAACAGTTGCTATATTGATTTGTGTATAAATGCTAGATGTAATATTCGTGATTCCAACTGTTCTATTTTCTGTTCGATTTGTGCAGAAGAAACCAGAAGTTTTTTTCAAGATATTAATGGAAATCCTAGCCTTCGAACTGAAAACTTTCTCACTACTTTTCATCCGTCCAAACGAGACAAAATATCCAACTGCATAGATTCGTTGCTTCCCAAACAAGATAAAACATTATCAAAGTTGAAAAGTAAACGTTCTAAACTAAACACTGAAAATCATAATGTTGTTCTGGCAGAAAGTATTGCTGGTTATAGAGGTCATGAACCTGTTGATTCACTTGTGGCATATATCACAGGAAATGCTGATCCCGTTTCAGATTCTGACGTCGTACATCCTAAGACTATTTCTGGTTGTCTTGATGTGGAACAGAAAAGGGAGAAGATCTTTGAGAAAGATGATAAAAATGTATCATACAATAAAGGCCCATTTGTAGATTCTACCAAGAAGAAGCATCTTGGCGTGGACGAAAATGATCGTATTGTCAATGAAGGACATAAAGAAGTTCTAACTGACCAGTGTGGGAACTTGTTAAACATTCCATATTCAAACTGTGCTAAAGAGCCAGTAACTCAAGATACATGTGTTGTTTCTTCTGTCTCCATTATTGAAGATCTGCCATTTGTAAAGTCTTCTGATAATGTAGAAGTTGAACTAGACAGAGTTGCTGTTTCAGAGACAAATGGCAAACAAGAACTGTCAAGTTTTGTCAAAGACTTTTATTCAGTAACTGAAGGACATTCAGAATTGATAGAGGATTCAGATTTTCATGTTGTTAGAAAAAAGCGTAAAAAATATCGCCAGACGAAAAAATTTTTCTCCGGTTTTCGACGCCACAATTACGTTGCTGGAGAAAGCAATGAAAGAGGTTGTAACTCTGGCCAAACTGCTAGAAATAACTCGTTAACTTTAAACTTACCAATTTCACAACAGGGGTCAGATAAGCCAGACCACACATGTTGGAAACACGCTAGTAGTGTTCCTCACTCTGAGCACTCCTCTCCTGAAAATTCTGATTTGGATAGTGTCCACTCTTTGCCCATTCATATCTCACCAACCCTGAACTCGACCATTGCTCCATCCTTTTCAGTATTTAGTTCACATGCTTCATATGCTGAAATTGCTCGTTTATCCTCCAGTAATAAGTCAAAACTAAATGGTATTCCTGCAAACAAGAGCACGAATTCCTACATCTTACCAGAATTGCATTCACAAAAGAGTTGTAAACTTGGTCCTCAGGTGCCAGAGGATCTTGGTCTTGAGCTAAATTTTGGTGTTGAACTAAGCATTCTGAATAGTACCTCAGTTTATCCCCTAACCCACAGTGAACAAGCTCAATTCTCCTCAAACAGTAGCATATCGATTTTAGAAAAAACATCAGAACTCAAAACTAATAAAATAATGGACAAGGTAACTCTAAATCCAATTGATAATCTTTCTGGAAAAGATAAAAAGAAAGAGAAGATAGAAACTACAATCATAGAAGGAATACCTCGGACATATTCCAATAGTATGACAGTGGAGCATACTAATCTTTCTTCTGGACCTGTGGTTTTAGGTTTTTCAGAGAACACTGATGTGACCAAAACAAGAGGGTCCTCAAACATCAGTGGATGTTCCCTGAATAAAAGAATAGCTAAACATAAGATTGTGAAAAGAGTAAAAAAACTCAACTTCAGTGGCCGAAAACAACAGTCTTCAGAAGAAATGTCACATGGCCTACCTGTAATTATCATGGACAATTGCCTTCCTTCGGGTAATGTCTGTGGACTGACTTTTGGATTCGAAATCAATGAATTGCTCGTTCAAATGGCCTTAGATAAGGCTACTAACCAGGATGGAACTATGAAAAGTGAAGAGACAGCAGTTGAAAAACTCTCCAAAGTTGGATATCCCAGTCACAGTTCTCTTGAAGCCCAGAACATGCAGAAACAAGTGCCTGTGAACCCAGTACATTCATTGCCTAACCATGACGTTTCAAAACCCACCTATGATCAGGCAAGCTTCCCAAGTCAGGCCACCATAACTTCACTAGCATGTAAGCAAGATCCAGTTTCTGGTCCATCTCCTCAATGGATAGAGCCTCAAGAAAATCCAAAGTGTTTTAATTATGACCAAGTTGTCAGTTTCTTTGGTTTAGGTAAGTAGAATAAAACAATTTTCTCAGTTGTTTGATATGACCTACATTTACCTGTATAGTCACTCAACTTAAAGGGGTACCTGAAGCTTTTGTATGTTATATCTATCACCCACATTCTTTTAACTTTAGCTGTGAAATGTAGGGGATAAAAAAGTGACTCGTCTGACTTTTCCATCAGAGTTAATTTAATCCTCTTGCTACGGGTAGGTTAAAATGTGCACGTCACGACCTTTCACTGAGTTGCATTCAAAATTTAATTAAATCATATTATTATTATCAATATATAAGAATAAAATTTTTTCAAAATGTAATTAATATATCAAATTTTAATATTATACAGGTTTTAAGTTTTTAATTTCATAAGGAAATATTTTAAAAAATTCTCTCTCTTTCATAGTATGAGAATTGACAGTTGTTCTAGAGTTTTCCCTCTGATTTATTTACCACCCCCTTTCTGAAGTACAAAATTTATTGTAAATTACTTGTTATGGTATAGATATTACTAATGGTAAGTGTAATTTTTATAGTCTTCAGTTTTCATTGAAATATGAAGTTTTATTTTATCAAGTGGTGTTCTCAGTACAGAATATTGTCTATTTCATATTCAGTTTGGAAGTTTCTCTTGTAGCGTTCACATAGAGAAGCTTAGGGAAATGTATAAAGCTGTTACTGCATAGAAAGCCAGTTAAATTTATAATAGTTATAGGCCATTGTTTGCTTTGTGTGTGTTTATTCTATGTTCTTAGTTGTATTATATAATAAGTAAAAATTACTTAATGTGCTAGTACCATCAGTATAAAAAAAAAGAAGTAGGCTTAAAGTTCATTGGCAACCAACAGAAAAAAAATAATGAAGCAAAAGTGAGGACTTTATTTCTTGTTTTTCATGTATATATTTTTTATTTGTTAAAAAATAACTAAAATGTAAAACTTAGAAACTTTGTAGGTTACATAATGGAAAAATAATAACATTTCTCTACGAGTTGTGCTCACGAGTAGTTCTTACATTACGTCATTCGATACGCTAACTTAAGCTACTCGTTCACCCAGTGATTTACAACTTGTAAGGCAAGATTGTTAATTCGACATGGTTCAAAGGGCAATAAAACCATAAAATTAAGTACAAATTAGTGTATACTGTTATGAGCCTTAAGCTATTTAGTATAAAAACAATGTAGTTTCATGTTACAATATTCAGTCATTCTAGAAAGAAAGAAAAAAAAGGCACTTTAGATTAATTTCTTAAGTTTTTATGGTGGTTCTAAGGTCAGTCAAATATACGGAGATAATATAGAATTAGGGTAAAGAAGATAACGGATGCTTCGAACTCCTAGGAATTCCAATCTAACTAGTAATTGCAACAAAGCATTCTGAATTTAAAGGAATCAAGGGAAATTTTAAAATAAATGTTTTTATTGAAGAAAGGTGCCACAAAACGGTATTAGATTTGGTATGAAATAACCCTTTTCAAAGTGATATCTGGAAATAGAAATAGTGAGAATGGCCCTGTGTTTGGTGCTGAAATAGTAAATATGTTTTGCAATTTTAATTTAGCATTTCAGTATTTTATTAATAAAATATAAACTTTTTTTAAGTTAGATTCAAATTAATTAAAATATTTTATAACTTCTATAGCTCCTGAAAGCTAAGCATAATTGACATATTAGAATATTGGCACGTTCTACTTTCACACTATTTGTTTTTTTATTTCTGTTTATATTGGTTACATTTGTGTAGTCTTCTGATTGAAGAGTACTTGTATACATTTATATTATTTTTCTTTTAGCTTGGGAAAATGTACAGAAAGAATATCAGAAAGGTGAGATTTTAAAATAATGTTTAACATTTACCTTCTTTACACTTGGTTCTATTCTTTACTGATTTGTTGTTTTATTTCCAAGTGCAATAGATTTTACTTTTCTCTGCCAAAACTATTTTAGAAAACACCTATAGAAATGTGTAGTGAAAACAAAAGAACTCAAACAATTAATTAAACATAATAGCAAAAAAAAAAAATGTATAGCAAATCAAAATGCTGCTATATGTGAACTTGGAATCTATTTTGTGTCTTTTCTTCAGTTATTATCTTGTACAGTAATCTTTAGATATTCGTTATCTTATGAGAACTTCTAGGTTTAAAATACTTATTGATAACTTCTTATTGGTCTTTCAGGTGATAACAGAGCAACTTGTAATAAAATCAAGTACTACAGGAAGTAGTGTGTGGAGGTACGTGGTGGTTAGTGTTTAAGTATTGTGTTGTTCCTGCTACACGCAAGGGAACATCCCAGTATACATCCTTCTTTAGCACGTGTGCATCATATATGCGTCATTTCGTTGAAAAATGCAATGAATCATTGACATACTGACTTGAAGAAGGTTTTTTTTTTTAGTCATCCCAAAGACAAGATCTCATCCATGCAAGTGCACTTGATTCATTTATCACTCTCGGATAAAAAATATCAGTCTTGTTTTTTTGCTTGTCATTCCTTGAGGTGTTCTATTCCGACTCACTGGTGAACAACTTGGAAAGAGGCACTGTTCTGTTAATGTATGTTCTTCAACTTCCTGTAGCGGTTCGTGTAACTTCAAGAAACGTGTTTTGGGAATTATCCTCCTTTACAGTATTTATGCTCTTTGATGGCTTATGAGGAAATGAACAATTTTTTTTGAATACAGTTTAATTTGAAAAGAAATGCTAACCCTAAAAAGATAATTAAAAAATCTCCCTCTTTTTTTTTCTTGTTACCTTGAACTGTGATCAGTATTTGGAGAAGATTGCTTCACTTTTAAATGTTTGAGAAGAAATACATTCTTGAGAGTTGTGTAAAAAAAAAATGTTTTTCTTTTCTGAGACCTCAAAATACGGTATGCTGTAAACTTATATCTTATGTCATTATTACTTTGCAGGACAGTAACTTTAGACTGTAAAAAACGTTGATTTCGTAAATAGATCAGAAGAGAAATCTTAAAAGTTAGCAGATCTGTAATAGGGGAAAACCAATTTGAGTACATAAACTAAGCGACTGTAACATGCGTATATTTTTAGTATTTGATATTTCAAGTCTTCTGTTCTCAAAAGAAAAATTGAGGAATTCTAGGATATTAACATATTGGATAAGTAACATGTTTAGATAATTAAGATCAAGGTTCCTGAAATTTTACATTTTAAAGTGCTACTAAAGTTGAAGTTAAGAGTAACTACTGTTTGAATACGTGTGTGTTTTTGTATATATTTCTTTTCTTTTTCCAGATTACCAACAAAAAAAAAAGACAACTATTTAAACCTGAAAATATTTCAAAATTACATATATATATATATTTTTTTTTTAACTTGTACACGCAGATGCCAACGTTTGCAATTCTTTAAATAAATTCCAGTAGAGGTCAACACTTGGTGATTAGCAAAACTTATATAAAAGTTCTGTTATTCAGTTTATATCTAGGAATCCTTTTTGGTGTGCAGAATTAAAACTGCCATATTACTTATAGGATTTATGAAATCTACTTCTCAGTATGCTACTAGCACGATTGTTTCAACTGAAGTGCTTGTGTGTGTGAAAAACAATTGTAATGCAGGGTGGGAACATTTGGAGGATTGCTTCGTGAAGTCTTGCTTCACGAAATATGATAGTGTATAGTAAGAGAAGTAGCAAAACAAATTTTCTCTTCCCTGTCCATTGAAGTGTATGTTGACCTAGTAGCTCTGATGAGTTTGTAAACTGAACACTTAACAGTACTGAACTTTTAAGTTATTAAATTTCAAACCATTGAATATCAGAAACTTTGCCAGAGCGGCAGTTTATTATCTGGTCAGTGTATGCAGGCTTACAGTTGGTTTATTACATGTAGAAAAGGGGTACAATTTGAACCAGACCCACAGTTTAGTTGCAACAAATACATTTATTACCACTTTTTTCGGGTGATACTGTTTATTCCTTTTGCCATTAGATATTAAAAACAGTGTTTAGTGAATTATAATGAAAATCTTGTGCTGAAGGTAGTTTGACTGTTCAGTTCATGATTTGTCCACTTATGCTTTTTTTATTTAAAAAAAAATTGTGGCTCAGCTTTTAGTCTGTAAAGAAATTAAACTTGTGTCACACTTTGAGTAGTATTAATGTAGATTCCCTGCTATCTTTATTAAGTAATGTTTGTTTCTGAGGAAAAAATTGATGATCGTTAAATTTGGTAATGCTCCACAAGATTGAAAATTCTTTTCTCAAAATTCGGGCAGTTTTAATTTTGTACTTTTTGCATAAATAGCGATATCATTATCATCGTTACTCCCCTTATGAGACAGAAAAGCGATTTTTATAAAAAAATTGTTTGGTTGAAACTTCATATTTATCAAGTATTTTTCGAGAATAGAAACAGAGGTGGAAATGTTAGTAAAAAGCTATAATTTGGAATGCACATAAATGTTTTAATACAATAAATGATTGAGATTTTGTTTTCATGATGAAATGTGCATCTCAGTCAGCAAAGAACCTGATCCCTTACACAAGTCAAAAAGCTTTAAATCTAGGTGTTTGTAAAAATAAAAGTTCTATCTACTATTGAGAACATTCTATTTAACCCTAAAGCTCATAAAAAATGTTTTTATAAAGTTTCAGACACTCTTGGATGGTACTTTTGTTCTTGTCAGCTGCATTCCTGATGTAAAAAATAAATAAAAGTGATATAAATAAACAGTTGTCAAATCAAGTTTCAGTGTGTTTTACTAATAAACAATGCCTTGGCATTATCAAGAATTGTAATGGTGAAAAAAAAATAAGGAGTACTGTTTAAACTTTTCAACAATGAAAACTACCAGAAACTTGTGGTTAATGACGAAGTAGGAATCCAGTATTAGAACAAAAGCACAGAATTAGAAACTTTCTATTTCAAACCCACCTTGAAGATGTAAAGGTAGATAGTGAAGGAATGTTGATATCTGCCTTTGATCAATGACTGTTTTTTTTTGAGAAAAAATCTTTAGTAGAACAAAATTGTCAGCTAAACTTTTAATAAATAAATAAATACGAAGAACGTTATCTCTTATCGATAAGAAATAATAACTTCATAATTTGTTGGAAAATATGCAAACAATCAGAAGATTGTTTGTTGTTTTTTTAAGCTATTTCTTCAGCTATAGACTTTTCTCAATCATTGGTTTCAACTGTAACCAGTAAATATTCTTTTAAAGACTTGCCTCTTGACATGAACTTTTTAACAAGAACAATCTTTTATTAAAATGTTTAAAGAGAAGCCTAGATTAAAACTTAAACAACTTGCTTAGGAAAACTTGTTAGATTCACTAAAATTGTACCCAGGAAGCATAAATGTATAAAAGACAATGTTATTCATAGCCAAAAAATCTATAATTAAAGTGGAAATGTGTTCTATTTCGGTGTTTTTTTATACCCTTTTTTTTGTGTAACAATCCTAAAACAAAGTACCCATTGTACACTGTATGATAGTTTTCAGTTACCATATCAACAATTATAGTAATTGAGCTAGCCAACTCTGGTTAGTGGATGCCAAAAATCTATAGTAGTGGAAATGTGTCGCATTTCAAGGGCTTTTTTTTTAATCCCCTTTTCAGTCAAAATGTACACTGTCGAACAGTTTCCAATTACTTTTTAAAAAAATTATGGTTATTGAGCCAGTCAACTCTAGATGATGGTTGCTAACACACACATAATGGATCATCTTTGTAGTTAAATTCACCAAAACCACCAATTTCTAAGCATTTATGAGGTTTAGAAATTTTGCTTGAAATTTTATAAGGATCGTAATTATTTTTTTTAGGAAAATCTTAACCCCCCAAAAAAAGATAATGTCAGCTAAATATCTAATAAATAAATATAAAGAATATTAACTCTCAAGATCCATAATATAATATGATGATTACTGCATGGTACCCAGTTTGGAGTGGCAGCTTACCAAAATGGCTGTGGATTTCTGAATACACGTTTGGTTGAACTTAGCATGTCTTGGTGGCTGTGCCTGGAAGGTCAATAAAAGCCAAGAACCTTATTTAGTGATCCTGATAAGTAAAGTACTTATTATTAAAGATAGTTATGTCGCGAGTATGGGTTGAGTTACTGTACCTGTGCTATTTTTCTTTGGGCATACAAGCTTGTTCGTGATGCTTATTGTAGATTCCTGCAGCTTATGAAATGAGATCATTGAAATGTTTCTTAACATTGAGATCCAGAGTGGTTCCTAACCCCGAGATAAGCCAACCAGTCCTTTTCTCAACTTTTCCTGGTTTGATATATTGCTTGAATCAAATGTTGACCACTTTCATTCAACCTACAATGTTCAGAGATGAAAGTGTCCCTTTCCTAAAAATCCTGTTGTTCTCTTCATAAGAGTGTGTGAAATAATTAGCATTTACTGTGGATAGTCACTACTTTACTACATGGGGATCTGATGATGCACTTCCTGAGAAGTTTATTGATTGGTATTAAAATAAACTTAAGCTCCGTGCAGATCAAGAAACAAACTACTTTTTCCACACAGTTGTGTGAATAGTGAGAATGGGAACAACTCTATATCACACCACTTGCAGTCGGACTGACTAACAAAAAAGAACAGTCTAGGCAATTATGATCATACTGTCAAAAGTTGTTTATGCCCCTACTGGTATGGCAGTTTTCTTAACTTGTAACACATGGAGAAACCAGGCTAGTACCTAATCTTTAGAAGGCTTGGTAAAGATACCAAACCTCTAGCAAGTGTTACATTTGACCATCATTTTCATGCTGTCAGGCAAACCTGCCTGCAGTATCATGGCTCTTATCATATGCCAACAGTATGTTCTTGGGAAAGAGTCAGGTGGTAGAAGAACTATTATGATAGAAGCATCTGTAACGGGCAGCGCCCTTAGGGCAAATTGTTGGAGTTTCAACTATACTACCGATTACACCAAATTTATTTAATTGGGGATTTGCAGGGGCGAGTGGAGCTCACAAGTCACTAACTGGAGGTAATTTACAGTTAGAATAGAGTCTAAGACTAACATTGCATAAATTATAACAACATATATTAAACTTTTCCACATGGCATACAATATTAGTTAAAAGTTTATTAATAATGAACTTCTCATAACTATTACTTTTAATCAGTATCAATAACTAGTACGTATGGAGTATATTTCTTTAATACAAACATGAATATCCTTTACTACCTAACTACATTAATTGATCAAGAGAAATAAATAATTCTATACTTACAACAGAGCTGGGCCAGTATACGTTTGGAGAACTTCAAGAGCTTACTTCTCAGCAAGAACTGCTTTTTCTGCTTCAGACATGAATTTTTAACCCGTATTTTCTTTGTATTCTGTCGAGCTTCCAAATAGTGTTCTTAATTACCCGCAAGTAGTTCCAACACTTTATTGGTCGATTTGTGCAACTTCCCGGGCTAGTCCAAAGCCATAACCAAAACTCTCAAGTGATTAGTTACTGTTATGGTGAGTTAGCCAGTTGCCTTTTCACTTGTGCTAGTACACCAGCGTCGTGTAAGGAATATATCTTCAAAGTACCGCTTTTGCATGTTAACATCAACTTTTCGTACCTTCCACAGTACTAAGGAGTTGGCGTCAATAATTAATCACTGGGGCTAGTGCATCTACTTCGTTGCTAGGCAATAGCTTCATTTTTTATAACTCTTAACTCATGATTCTCAATACCACTTAACCAGCTAGCTGTACTTTGTAGCTCTTGACCTTATTTCGTAATGCAGGCGTCTTTACTTCGCCATTTCTTCATATATATGTTCACTCAAAAACTCTGGAAATTATTATAACTTCTTTCTTAAACTCTTTTAAAATGCTAAACGTACTGAATCAATTGTAAAATTCCCTCAAAAAATACCAAATTGCTTCACATCACTTATGGAAATTGAGTATGGCTATAAAACTATGTGACTGCTCAGTTTGAGTGGTAATTAACACTAACAAACTGATATCTCGATTTAGAATTTCGGCTCATGTTTAGAGATAGATCTCTTGTTGAGCATATAGATATATCTGTGCTTTATCAGATAAGATTCTGACATCTTGGCTGGATTATCATCTGTAAAAGGGGTTGGTGAATGGGAAGTTGTTGAGTATACATGTCAAAAACATAGAAAGAAGATGAGCTGATGGAAGTAAACAATATTAGATCCAAATATATGGTGTTATCCCTATTTGTAGGTGCTACGACCAGATTTTCTAATGCAGGCTGCAAGTGAGAAGTTTCCATGCAGATGGAATTAAGACAGATAGTTAGAGAAGGAATGTAGACACCTGTCTATGCTCAGTGGACTTATAACAGTGACTATTGACTCAAAAAGTATGTCTCCGAAAATTGATTGTGCTGTCCAATGCATCTGGGGTCATTTACTCTAGTGAGAGGAATCCCCATAATAGGTGGTGATTACTTAGTTAGATGACTTTTAATTAAATTGTGGGAGATGAGTATCATGTGGAGAGATTTAAAATAAACATTCTTTACTGGATGGAGGAAATAAGTCCTGCCCTAAAACTTTTTAATGAACATAAATTTCTTGATGTAGCTCGTATGACTAATAATTCCCAGAAAAACGTTGATGTCTGCAAAGAGTAATAGGACAGGACAAAAAAAATTACTTTGTCAAATGAAGTTATAAGCATCACAGTGTGATTTGGCATTACTTCAGTTTTGGACAATTGAGAGATGTTTGGCATTAGGCATTCAACTATTGGATCTGCTTCCATTATCTGTTCTGCTTGAGAGAGGAGCATTCAACATCTGAAAGTCTTTGGCCAGTGTGGACATTCTTGGAGGTCATATAGTATTACATTGCCATGAAGACCACTGAGGTATCAAAGTTAGTAGCATGTGGAGTAGTGAATAAGAATACCAAGCCATCAAATATCCAAAAAGATGTCAGATAACCAAAAGCCTATAAAAGTGTGATTCCCAATGATGGACTTGTGATAATATAGTAGCAGAAAAGAAAAGGAAGAAACATTTAACACTAAAGAAAACTGCAAGAGCTTTTCCATTCATAGTGTTGTATCTACTGAACAACACCTTGTGACCTTCATTGAAACTTCTGTTCCATTCACAATTCTAAGAACCAATGAGTGAAAGCAAGAAAAATAAATCATTATGTAATAATATAATGTCAACCACACTATATCTGCCACATTCAGTGCCAATGTGGCATTTTGCCCAATATCAGGGATCATCGGCCTGACTGGGATATGAAGAACACAGTACTGGTTTGTCTAGCTACTGTTTATAATAATGATATGGTGTGAACTAGGTTAAGTAAAATGTAATTATTGTCATTAAAAATAATCTTATGATACCTACAAGCACCTTGACACCTTCAGTGAAATTACTATCTCGCCAGTTGAATAAATAATATTACTCTGAACACTAGTGTTTTTAAGTTTAACTTAACTTAGTATAACTTCTGTGCATAACCTTCGTGAAAAGTATTAAAACTTATATAAAAACCATTACAAGTCATTTTTTACATTTATTAAAAGTACATATTTTGGATATTATAATTTTCCTAAACTGAGAATGTATTTCTGATAGATACTTATATCCTCTCATATAATAGCTTTTCTCTTACAGTGCTGACCTCTATATGTATAAATATTTCCCTCGCCACTAGCTTTGATACTCCCACCTACCTCACGTATTTAATGTGGTACAGCTGCACTGTAGCATGCGACA